TCTTTCCACTCCCCTAAATCAGAAGCAATTTAGTTATTCATGGAGAGAAAACAAGAAGGCATCTCCTCCCTTTTCAGTTCATAGGTGGTTATTAATGCTTAGTTAAGAGAACAGGAAAAACCGAGAAGCCCCTTTATTAGCATCTGCTAAGGATTTAAATTTAGGGGCCTTCATTATAAAGAACATTTCATCAAAAATAATCACATTTAGAGTTTATTTTCATTAGAGATATATATAAATTGATACATTTTGCTGGCAAGCGTGCACACCTGTAGTGCCAGCTACTTTGAGCTGAGGTGGCAGGATCGGTTGAACCTAGGAGTTCTGGGCTGTAGTGTGCTATGCTGATAGGGTATCAGCACTAAGTTTGGCATCAATATGGTGACCTCCCAGGAGTGGGAGACCACCAGGTTACCTAAGGAGGGGTGAAGCGGCCCAGGTGGGAAACCCAGCAGGTCAAAATTACTGTGCTGATCAGTAGTGCAGTCACACCTGTGAATAGCCACTGCGCTCTGGCCTGGGCAACATAGCAAGACCTCTTTCTTTAAAAGAAAGAAAAAATTTGCTACATGTTGCATCTAAACATTTTATTCAAAGAGTAAATTTAAGGTACCAATATTTAGTTTTATATTTATGCTAAGATTTTTACCATTTATTTTAAATTGAAAGATAATATTTATACCTAAGGAAAAAATACATAACAGTATACTGTAGTAAAATATAAATTTCATACTTCTGTCTGGCCAGTCTTCGTTTTCAGAGGTATCACTTTTGATACTTTCTTAGGTATCTTTCTAGAAATATAAGAATAAAGTTTTCTTCAAAAACATGGAATTCTTATTAGATTTATTCCTAAACAATTTCCTCTTTATAATACTATCATAAATGAATATTTCAACTCTTTCTAAGTTATTTTGTGTTGTTTTGTAAATAGGTGAATCTTTGATATATGTGTTAAATTTGTAACCAGTCACTTTTAATAAATTAATTCTCTTATTGTTTCTAATCATCTTCCAGCTAATTCTGTTAGATTTTTCAGCTTTTAGTTTTTAAAAACATATAAGTTAACCAGTTCCAATGAGCACTGACAAACCACGTCATAGTTTAAAAACAAAACATAACAGAGGAAAATATGCTTATTTATTTTTAGTTAATTATTTTATTTATAATTGACATAATTTTACATATGGGTACAGTATGATTATGGGGTACAGTTTCAATGCATGTATACATTATATAATGATCAAATCAGCATAATTACCATATCCATAGCTTTAAACATTTATTATTTCTTTGAGGAAAATATATTTAAATGTCAAAACATTATTTTTCTGAATTTATATCTTATGGACATAAAAATTTCTATCAAATAGTAAGTTTCAGTATTTGTTGATTGAAATCAAAATTAAAAATTAAATGACATGAAAACAAAATTAAGTTCACAGAAGTAAAGATACAGTTGTGCTTATCCATATGTATAGCAGTATAGGAAATGTGATTCCTCTACTGCAAGATGTAAGAAATCTTGCTAATGCAGAACCTTACCAGGTGTGTGTTGATGGCGATGAAGGGAACCTTGGAAATAGGCAGAGTTTGAATCACATTCCTAACTGCTTAGTTTCTTATAGATTGGCAAGAGATATTAAGTATTCAGAATTATTTTGCAAGACAGTTGACAAGAACCGACTGAAAACTATTAGAACTTATAACAGAGTTTATTAAAGTAGCCAAATAAGATATAAATACATAGATATCAGTAGTTATCCTTTATGCCGGTAGTAACCAATTAGAAAGTATAGGAAATGAAGACCTCTTTTCTAATAAAATTTTATAAAAAATATCTACAAATACCCTTATAAGAAATACATGAAAGCTATTTTAAGAAAACTACAGTGCTTGAGAGACCTATGATGTTCCTGAATGAGAATGCTGACTAGCACAAAGATGATGGTACATCTTTAATTAACTTACAAATTTATTGCTGTCTGTATAAAATCCTATAGGGAGCTTTTGGAATTAGAATGATTCCAAAGATAAGTTTTAAAGAAAAAGCAATAATACCTAAGAAAATGTAGGAAATAGTACTTACTTTATGAGATATTAAATTGTACTTTTAAAGTTACAGTGATCAGAACATTGTTGCACTGATTCAAAAATTAATAGGTAGACCAATGGAAAGGATAGATGGCCTTGAAATAAGACTTTATTGTATGATAAATAGAACCTTAACAAAGGTT